TGTTTATTATTATTTCAATGTAATTTAGTTTCATTTTGTGTTAATATTGTAAATATTTAGATTAATTAAAGTGGTGCGTTAATTTTGTCCAAGAGTTTACTTTATTTTGGACTTCTACAATGGCCTTACCCTTTAAAGGGTTATATTTGTGATTCAATTATTGTATTCAGGATTTAAATCATGATAGTGTTAAGCAAGCCCTTAAATAGTATTAGTAGGTTACTTAAATTTTGCATGGCCTACCAATAAAAGTTAATATACTTGCTACATAATTTATACCTACATACATAATTTGCCCTGCTACATAATTTAGTAACCTCATTGTGGAAGTCTCAAGTAACATGAATGATAAACCTGCTTAAGTTATGTTCCTCATTATTCCAAAATTGCCCTAGATGATAACAAAATACTAACTTATTTATTTACAGTATTATCATTATGACTCATTACAATAATATTCAGTAGTAACCTTAAAGTAATGCTGATTTTTTAGTTCCATAATAAATTATCCTAATTTGTAAATAACGGAGTTATTTATAGCCAATAATCAACAGCATTATTGTTAAAATATAAAATGTATATTTTTACAAAAGATATTACATTATGAAGCCTATATGCATATAAATAAATTATCATGACCTAACATCATAGATGTCAATGATGTTTAATCACTAAGGACAAAAAAATTAGTAATGATTATCAATTGCTGTATTCCTTTGTATACTGCAATGTCCTTATTCAAGGCCTTTACTAAATATGTACCTTTTAAATAAAAAAAACTTCCAACATGCAATCAACAACTAAAGCTTTTTCATTACCCTAAGTGACCTGTATGTATATACCTAAAATAATATTAAAAATATTCTAGTTATGTATATTTTTGATGGTTTTAAACATAAACTAAAATCTAAACTTTAATACATTTTAAGCCAAATTTTTTATTGATATTAAAAAAAAGGCAATAAAATCTTTTCAAAAATGAAAAAAGATACCAATAACGCCATAGAAATTGTCAAAAAGAATGATTACACTGTTTATATGACAGATGATACAGACATAAAAGAACAAAGAAAAAATTTGAAATACTCCTAAAATAAGGGGACATATTTTTCTGGATTTATTGTTTGTTTTCTCTTTTATTTAAATAACTTAATAACATTAATAATATTGAACATTTTTAAATAAAGTAGGTAAAAGTTATTGATATTATCAATCAAAATATCCTTTATTGTCAGAAAATACAATTCTTATTGACACAGTTACATTGTTATTAATAAATACAATAATAAAAATTTCAAAAACAGTACACAAAAACAAACAAATGAATAATCATAACATAAAAATATCACAACATTATGATATTAAATACTTTCTCCTGAATATTATACCTCCCTGGATTACAAAATATTAACCTCCATTTAAAATGTAATAAATTGCAATTTTTTGACAAATAATTGAAGCTTATTAATTTTTTTTCTCTCTTATAAATGAAATACCTCTGACTAAAGTCTCAATCTGTAAATGAGAAAGCTGTGAGATGTGGTTTTTTAGAAGAATTTTAAAAATACCATGGACTGATTATCTTTTGAAGGAAATGGTGTGGCACAGAATGGGAAGAGACAGAGAACTTTTGAACACCATTAACACCTTCGCTGCGTCACCAGTTGAAAAAGACTGGTAACTACGTTTGCAGAAATTACGGCTAAAAATAAATAAATGTATTTCCATCTGGCGAGTAACGTACAAACAAAACGCGTTGGTAAAAACAACATTATAGGTACCTATATTATTGTCTAAATCTATCTAATAGAGGGATAATTTAGCACCAGTTGTATTCGACTGGTAACGCATACAAGTTATTTATTTTTCATTGTTGGATTCCCAGATGAATTCATCTGGTGAGTAATTTCATTTGTAATTACCAGTTTAGTTTAGTTATCTCGGTGGAGCCATAATAGTGTTTAAAATATTTGTATAAGAATTGAGTAAAATGAGTAAGCACTGTTAAATTAGTAAATTAGCAAAATGCAACTATAAGTGGTAGTTGTGTAGAACCCAATCAGAAATTGGATCGGCGCCAAGAAACAATTATAAATACTTTGAGCGAATCAGAGGAAGAACCATTTAGCGACAATTCGGACTGTGATTATAATTACACTCCTTCTGAATATTCAACTAGTCCAGATAATGACGAATATAAAATCAGTTTCGAGAAAAGATATACTGACCAAACCCGTAGGAACTGGTACCAAAAAAAGGCCAAATTGTATGGAATGTTACAAAAAGCTGAGTTAAAAAATGAAAAGTAAAGAAACCAATAAAAATGTATTTAAAGTTACTACACACTGTAGCATACATACGAGGGAAAACCTGCTTTATGTTTACCATGTTTAATTTTAAACACAACACCTACATTTTAAAACTTATACTTAGTAATAATTAGCATTTGTTGTTTTTATATTTTATGAATAATATGTGTTTTGCTCTCAATAAAAGTTTTGGTTTTATTTTACTTGAAAATATTATGCACTTCTTAAAAATTTTATATTTTGCTTTACCAAAAGGATTAGCTTGGTACTGATACAGTTTCCAGCAAGTTTGTATATTCCTTGTATGTATACAACTATTACTACACATGAATCTTTGAAAATTTACAGATAGATAGCACTCACATTTCTTAAGAACTACCAGTCTATTGCGACTGGTGTATCTAAATACATAATTCTATAGTACCGGTCAATTACAACTGGTAAAATATACAACATAATAATTGTATTTTTCATAATCGCAGTGAAGGTGTTAAAAGAAGAAAGACAGAATATTTGGGGTACATACTTAGAAATGAGAAGTACAAGTTGTAGCATGATTATGAAGGGTAAAATTGAAGTAAAAAAGGTCCTGGTAGATGAAAAATATCCTAGTTGAAAAATTGTGACTGGACCGGGTTAAACACACAGACACTTTTAAGAAAAGCCTAACATAGAGACGAATTTGCAATGGTTATACCTAATCAACCTTCATTAGTGGAGCCAGCACTAGAAGAAGAAAGGTACTAGAATTGGAAGTGATAAGTAGTATGTCTTTCTAGCACTGTGCTCTTTGTGACTACAATGCCAAATATTTTAAAAAATTTCAATAAACTGGAGGAAGCAGTTAAGTCAATGGGTTTTAGTGGGAGGAACACAAAAACAAATAGAAAACTTTTAATGGAAAACATGATATTATTTGTATCTTTGTAAGACTTACATCAAAAGTACAAAGATTAATAATTAGTCACATTGTATTGTAATGATCAAAAAGACAAAGCACCAAATTCTAATAGCAGAAACAGGTTAGTATAAATTGGTTAAGGTCTAAAAACATTTACTGCGATCATATTATATTAAAGCCTGATTTGTAAATTGTTAAACCCACTCCAATATTTAAAACCTTCGAATTGGATTTTAACAGAACAGAGCCATGCAATTTTGTGATAACCCCCTTTCTAGCGAGACTTTTATCAAATTGAGTTATTATATGCATCTCACAAACAACATGTAGCACAAAAAATACATCCTTTATTAGAAATGCCCAAAATTATATAACAACTTTTGATGAGTTTTGTGCTAATGCACAGAAAAAAACATGATCACACAATAAAGTGGGAAGTAAGTTTTTCGAAACAGAATCTTTTATAGACACAATAACAGATAATTTTATAATTAATTTAAGTATGTTATGATTCTGAATCAGAAAGTGAAAAGGAAGTTGATGATAGTGACATTGAATAGAAAACTACTTATATATAAATTATATTTAATAAAATCATATTCACTAATTTAATTGGTAAATTTTTTAAAATTTTTAAAAATTTATTTTTCTCATAAGTAATTTTTTTCTAATTGAATTGAAACTTTCAGAACTATTACTTAGTTGTTTTTAATAGAAAATTCATAATTATATCTGTAATAACAAACTATAATTCGAGAAAATGATTTTGATATAATTTTTTATAGAAAAAAGATATAAATCTAATTATATATACTTCCTTAAAGAGATTATCATGTTTTGGTATCTACAACTGATCCAATATTAGCAAATTAGCTATTTAACAATAATGAGATTATATTTTGTCAAATGATAATAGTTATAATGTATTTAGAGATTAACAGGTAAATTGGACCCAAATGTTTGTAATAAAATAGCCAAATCACCATATTTTAAGATCAATAGTTTGCAATTTTTTAATTTGTTTTATGCTGTGCCATAGTCCTGCCCAAAGCGTACCTTGCGCCAAAATAATCAAAAAAAGAGTACTTTCTCTCCCTAACACAAGCCCCTGGTGTGCACACCATGTAAATCTCCCACAGGTCATGCTAGTCACAGACAAAAAATGCATAAAAATTATTTTTAAACTATCTTCCTTAATATTAAAAACATTAGACCTCAATTGTAATATTTCCATATAATAAATATGTCTTTGTCACCCTATTTTGAATAATATTTAGATATATAATATATAGATATATAAGACTTTAGTTACAACTTAGTTATAGTTGTAACAATATTGTTTTTTAATAATATAAAATAAGGTCCCTATGCTTATAAAAGTATTACTTAAATAAAAATAACCAAAACAATGTGGTATGTTAATAAACATTTCTAGAAATTGCACTAATAGCACTAAATATGTTTCACAAGCAAGTTAAACAGGCTAAAAGATTCCATCTAAGAAAAAATAATCTTATACTAAACACTGGGAAGGATGTTTATTGTATGATTTTGCTTTGGTTATATTTCACAGAAATGACAACAATTTAATTACAGTGATACCAAAGAATATAGATTCATATAAGTATGTCTTTATATTCTTTGTTGATACTGTACTTTTACTAATGCCTGTGCTTTAATAGAAAAGAAAAACAGTCTTATTGTTTATAAAACTTTCTATTTTCTATACAATTTTCTTTACAATTTTGCTAGTGAAACTTAGATCATTCAATAATAAAAGGTTCACTTACATCATATTCAATTTCCAATTTATTGATTTCATCAGTAGTGGAGTTTAGTTTTTCTAGTTCTATTTGAATCCTGGGATCTAATTCACTTTCTTCATCAGAATTATCCATAATTGTATCTTTTATTCAGTTGGGTCATTAAGCATTCTAATGATTAAATGACCTAAATAAAAAACTAAAACAACTTCAGTTGTATCCAAATATAAACAATTGTTACAGTTTTTCGCTTACATTGCAAAAACTTCCAACACTAATCAAATAAACACTGAAATCCTATTAATATACTGTGACGTATCTCCACAATTATTGTGCATGAGAACAATCAAAAAATATTTCTATGTACGCTTTCTAATTTTAATTTGTTATAGATTTATCTTATCTGTCTAAACGACTAACAGTTTAAACGGATCACAATGCTTTTTATCACTTTTTAAGTTATGCAAAAAAATTCACAATTTTGTTATTCTATCTACAAATTTCTAAAATACAAACAATACAACTGTCTAATTGACAGTATAACATGACATGAGTAAATAAAACCACAGAATGACAGAGACAGAATACTCCACCAACAAGAAGCGAAAGCTTTTTCGGAACCTTTGATGGGAGGAGAGAAATTTCGTAGTGACAGTGACAATGAAACTACTCGAAACTACACGAAGAAAAGTATTGAGGAAGTCGTTCAAAACTGTAGTCAAATTATAGTTACACTGAGAAACGAAGTAATCATTTTTAAGTAATCTGTTTTATATGAATTTTATTTTTTCTGTAAAATTTAATATAACTTATATATAAATTCTGTACTGATAATTAAAAAGTTCTTAAGTCAAAAATATCGATTTGTTTTTTTTTACAAACAAATTAACGTACTGAAAGTATTTTAGTAAAAAACCGATAAAAAGCGATTGAATTTGATAGTTAATTTCAAAATAGAGATGAAAAGCAGTCGATTTCTATTACTTTTTATCGTGTTTTAAGGTTAATAAAAAACTTAATCATCTCAAAATCTATATTGTGACTCAAGACTTTTTACTTATCAATAGAGAATTATACTTTTGAAATTTCTAATAACTTTGTCTTAAGTTGCTGACATTTTTGTTTCCTGTTGAAGAATTTCTTTGAATGTGAATATCTGTTAACCTCTAACACTACGATATTTTCGCTGCGCGTAAAAACTCTGAAGCTGCGGCTAGAATGACTGTGCACCCCTTCGATTTCTTTCTATGCATCTGGGGTCTCTGAAACTTCTGGTTGTACTGTACTAAATTCAACTCTCCTGGAAAATCACATTTGTGGTAGGGAGGGGTAAAAAATTGTAATAAAACAAAATAATAACAATAAAAATAGAAATTTATTGTAATTAATACTAATAATAATGTTTATTTAGGAAGCTTAGATTATAATATAGATTTACAAAAAATAAGCATACTGAACACTAAATAAACATGAAAAATCACTGAAGTAGAGAAAAATGCAACGTCTGCAAGGTTAAAAAAGACATAAATATATTTTTGTATAAGAATTATTAACTGCGAAAATGTAAATTTTATTATGAGATCTGTTATTTAATTTTTGAATAGAAAAGTTATAATTATTCATAATTCGCTTGTCGCTACACATTTTTATTAACTTTCTTAAAAAAGTAGGACTTCAAGTCCTCACTTGGAGTTCTCAGTCCCCATAATCACATTTATCAATATTGTATGCTTTAAAATGTGTCAATAACAAACTACTATCTAGTCTAGTAAGTACTATCTTCAATTTCCTACATTATGACAAACATGAATATTGAGAGCCTTTTTAATTAAATAACCACATACATATTGTAAAGCATTTTGGGTTGTTAGTTTTTCTGTTCTGTAATCACAATCTGAACGCGAAAGAGATTTCACTGGAGAGTATTGTTGACTACAATTTTTTTACGTTTAAATCCATTAAACGTTTATCTAAATCATCTTTGCAATTTATTTTATTAGAATGCATAAAATTTTGACAAAATAGTTTTTTAAATGCCCTCTGAAATTGTATGGGAGTTAGATTGATGGAATTTCCACCTTGTTGTCTTATACTAACAAAATAATTTTCCACAGTCTTCTTGTTTTTAAATATTTAAAATCATGAGACTTTAAGTTATCCCAAAGCTTTTTAACACCATTCATTGTTACAATCCAACACTTTTTTGATCGCGAACATGTTACATCTTTTCCTGTTTTATCTAATATTTTCAGTTTATGTACCAAATCTATCATAGAATCTAGGTAATTGATCTGAAAATCAGTTCCCTCAAATACATTTTTAAATTTGTTAGGATTATTCTTATCAGTAGAATTTAAAATATCAAACAAATTATTAAATTTTTCAATAATTTTTATTGTTCCCAATGCATCTGATGGAAGAATACCAAGAGAAATATATGTATACATAGAACTTGCAACAGTGTTACTTAAAATTTGAGATGCTAGTTTTACTCGCATTTTTTCAAAACATGTAGGATATATGGGAGTATGTTAGTTTTGGTGCACACTTATAGAACTGCTTTTTATCTTTATGATAAAAAGTTTCTATAAATGACCAAGATGTTTTTTTGTCATCAAAATAAAAAAACATTATTAATTAAATTATTTCTAGTGGCTTTAATTAAATGACATGGATAAAATATATAAACAATTTTTTGTCCATTGACATCAAATTCTGAGTTAGTTGGAGAAATCCCCAGTAATTTACTCAATTTTAGAAAATTTGACCCCATATCAGTAACAAGACAATTCACATATAAACCTGATTGAAATAGTTTAAAAATACATTCTTCTATAATAGGAAGAAGGTGATTTGCTTAAAAGGTAGTGTTTACAAAGAAATATGCTAGTTGTTTCCAATTTGAATATGAGCCTCGAACCATTATCACAAGTACATTTTGTGAAATTATTGATTCCTTTTTCCTATATCATATAGACCAACAATCTCATCACGACTTGTATCAAAAAATAAATTACTTTTAATAGACATTCAATCAATACAAATACTCCAGTGCTTGTCCTGATCTAACATTGTGTTCACTTTTAACTTTAGGGCATCAAATATTTGGTCATTATTCAAACCAGGTTTACAGACCAAATTTTCAGTAATTTTTTTTGAAGACTTCGTTTTGAGGACATATTCAATATTCTTTCCATAAAAGCATAGGCTCTTGAGCCCAAAAAATATAGTGTTAATGCAAATTGTTTATATTCATCAGAATATCTTCTACTTTTTGGAGGTTTAGTTTTTAAAATTACTTGAGCTTCCACTATTTGTGCTAGGGGTTTATTTAAAAGCTTGTCACACAATTGAAGAGAATTAAAGAGAAGATTTATTATCTTGTTATAAATAGTTTCTGTTGCAGCATTCTCTAATTAGGGCTTTTAATAGCATTCATCCATTTATCAAACATATCCATATAATGTCCTGGACTTGAAAAACGGTATTGCTTGCCAGTAGTATCCATGCAATCTGGAATACATCTTTTTTGTTCAGTTCTTCGTCTCTATAAAAAAAAATACATTGTTATTCCATGTAATGTGTTCGATTCCATAATAAAAAATCGTCTAAAATTGTACCTGTTTGCACTACTTATATAAAAAAAAATTTAAACTATAAAATAAATTATAAAAAAATAAAACAAATACAAATATGGCGCCGTCTAAATTCAACTTTGATTTGACCACAGCACACTCCCTCCGCGTAGAAACGAGACTAGCAGCGCCGCCAAACGAATGGGTGCTAAATCCAAACGTGATTTGACATTGCCTATCCCTGTTACCAATCTAGGTGTAATTTTATCTATGTTTTGCATTGGCAACACTGGTTTGCGCACAATGCACACACAGTTAATTTGATTGTTTGACGACTTTGACGTTGTATTTAAAAGTTATATTTGCTTTTCTGTATTAATTAGGAAAATCATTAACGAATTAGATTCCAAAAGATTATTTTAACTGTGATGGACTGTTGACTTGTGTGTGGACGGCTTTTTTATTAGTGAAAACTGGTTTTAAGTATTTTAAAGTAAGTATATTATAAATACATGTCATAACCTACGTGTTTGAAAAATAACGACTTTTCAAGCAGCATGAACTCTGGAAAAATTTTTTTCTTTTTCGGCTAAGTCCACAAAAAATTGGGCATTTTTGAGGCGTTCCGGCTTAGTAAATAATTACCTTAAAAACTTTGTATTATTCTACACTGGAAATTTATATTTTAATGACACAAGTTGTCAATGCATTTGGAGGCAAGAAGGTAAAATTTAAAACTTGACCGTACATATCCAATAGCTATTGAAATTTTTATTATCCGAAGGATTTAAATATAGGTTTTGGTGTATTGAACTGTGCTCATATATTATCTGATACAACTTTTGAGGGAGATGTTCTAAATCTGTTAGTCCTAAACAAAAATAATGTTTCAGTATACAACAGTACATTTTTTATGGCAAAAACTGCTTTATTGAGTAGGCTTGAGCTTTCTTGAAGTGTAACTACTAAAAAACTATTGTTTTTAATTACAAAATTATTTCAGTTAGTGATCCATAGAAATATGACACATCTTGAATAAAACTTCTTTAACCTCAAACCAAAGAATAAAATAGGAGTATTAATAACTGTAATTATACTGATTAATACTATTATCCAGATCAGTGTATTTTCACTTGAGTTTCATAATCTTACAGGATATCTATCCTTAAGTTATTTGCACAATTAGTTCTTAAATAGAACTTAGAAAATAGAATAACAAAGGGTAATAAAATAGTACAATAGGAAAGAACTAACCAAATATACTATGTGCTTTCTAATAACAAAAAATCAAAATAGGTCAAAAAAGAAGAAAAAAGAAATGCATGTTGAAGCATTATGATACATCTTTATTCGTTGTTACTACTAACTTAATTGTAGGAGAGTCATTGCTCCAAGAGATGCTTCAGAAAGAAGTGTAAACCTTACTTTGATGATGAAGGTGTATTACATAGAATAATTGGAACTATTATGTTACGAATTAGAACATATTGTTTCTATCATGGATGGTTAAGATATAGTCATATTTAGATGAGTTGTATGAATGAAAATAAATAATTTGCGTCTTGTCAATGTTTAATATTAGTCTGTTGGTATTACACCAGCGTATAAAGCAGTCAACAACAGTCTTCATTGTCATTTTTAATTCATCGAGTGTACATGCAAAGACTATTAACGAGGTGTCATCAGCAAACATTGATATTATAAGTGCCCTTATGTGATCTGGTAGGTCATTAATAAAAATTAGAAATAATAATGGTCCCAGCATGGATCCCTGTGGTACTCCTTTATTTGTCGTGTATGGTTCTGAGCTTGATTCTTTCATCTTAACAACACTTTTCCTGTCACTTAAGAAATTTATTATCCATTCTAGAAATATCCCTCTAAAACCAACGTTATATAATTTATTGCGAATAAATGTTATGTCTAAGCAGTCAAAAGCACGTCATAGATCAAAAAATAGTCCTGCCACGTGGTTTCTACTATCTAATTCATCATAAATACGCTCAAACAAGCTGCATGCAGCCGTGAGTGTTGACTTTTTTTATCTATTGCCTAACGTAACTTATAGGTATAAAAAAAACTCAAGGATTACATTAATAACATATAAACATATCTCAACATTAACACAAACAACATTTTTTTAGTATATACAAAAATATTCAAGACTCCATTCGTTTACAGTTTTATGATCGTCAATAATGTATAAAAAATATTGTAGAGTAAAAATTTATGAATATTTGAAATCAACAGTAATATCTCTTGTAAAACAAAACTAAAAGGTGTTTATCGATATTTCTCCATAATCAATAAAATCGAGATACATTTATTTGTTAGTAAGGGGACGAAATAACAAACATATAAAATCAAAAATGTACTTGAAAATCCATACTTTTTAAAACATAGATCTAAAACTGTTGATTCTGTAAGTAATCTGTTTCCTTCAATGTCTTTGAATCTCTATTTGATTTGATTCAAAAATACTTTACCCACGGCTTGTACTTTTTCTTTAATAACTGGTCTTCAAATTTTAAACAATGGCAGAATGACAGAGCCTTTCATTCATCAGATGTTAAATGTAAGTTACATTCTAACAACATATTATCATTCGACAGAGAATTTTACCTAGTACATACATCTATTTTTAATATTAATATTGATAGAGAATATATTGAATTTAATATACTTAACCTAATCATCAACTTGCTTTGAAAAAAATAGTTTTAAAACAACTATTTTTGTGTGCAAACATTTTATATACCAAACAATTTTATTTTTATTACTTTTTATTATGCTTTTATAATTTTATTATATTTTAGCATCCTTTTTACCTCAATATATACTCATTAAAGGCCCAAACATCTGATCGGTGATCACTAACAGTTACTCTCAACAAGTATTTATTCATTGACCAGTCTGTATTTTTAACACCGTATTTTCTTCATTACAGATCTTGAAAGACCAAAGTGGCCCGAGATCCGGATTACTTACCCAGTCTTTTAACTGATACAGATCCACTGATCTGAGTGTTATGACTAGTCCCAAGTTACATAGACACACTGCTTAATTTGTTTCTCCAGGTTCTTCCAGAAGTGTATCTGTTTATTCCATGTATGAGGTCCCATTCTATTTTTGTACTACTTGAATCTCTTCCCTTCTACATATATTAATATTCCTTTGTTTAATACTGTTCTTTGTTTTATTTCCTCATTTTTTATTCTATCCTTGTTATTTAACAGCATTTTCAAAAGCATTCCATCTCATTTGAAGCTATCTTGTACCACAATAAAGATTGTTTTATTTTAGTAAACTACAATTAAAATTAGATGAGTTTGACAATATGAAATTCATTTTGTTACATTTAATTGAATATTTTTTAAAACCTAATTTAAGTATATGTATATTCTAGATGCCGAGAACTAAAGCAGTCAATAAAAAAACAACATCAAAATTAGATGAAGAAGGTATTGATAGACAGTTTCTTCTGGAAGTTATACGTACACTAAGTAAGTTTTTTTATGCAATTTGTACAGTTCATAAACGAAAATATGATATATTAATAATAGCAAACATATTTTAATTTTCGACAGAGTGCCTTTCTTAAGTTATGTATTTTTACTATGTGTCTACACTTTATAGTCTTTAGCTGAATAAGTTAAGGAGGGAAGAGCCAGTGCTGGTTTAACACCGACCAGTGTCGATACGGATGCCGCGCCCAGGCCCAAAAATATTTCTTAACTTTATTTCAATTCAACGAAACATATTTTGAATACAGGTTTATTTCCAGCTGAGTTTCCAGCTGTTCTCCGTGCGTAGAGGTTTACTCCCCGGCTCTGGAACTCAATTCAACAATGTATGTTACCTGAAGTCATATTTAATTTAATACTGAACATCACAGTTTTTTAACAACAAGATGTATAATCTTTTATAACTATATGTAATTTAAAGGGTTTTTACCCATGTATTTTGGTGGCTCAGGCATTTTAACCTAGCAGATTTTAAACCTGATGATGGACTGTTTAGTCCGAAAACGTTTGTTTTTTTGATGTAGCCCTTTTAAGGGTTTTTTAAATAAATATACCCACTTACGAAGACTAACCTCTTTTTTTGTGATACGTGGTATACAGCCAGCTACAGGAATTGTTTTCCTTTGTGGATTAGGTTTATTAAAATAAATAAAAAAATTACAACTTTTTTTGGTTTCAAACCATGTGATACCATAAATGAATACCAACAAAATACAAGAAAAAAAATTAGGGTGAACCTTAAAAAATAAAATAAAAGTGTACCTAATAACATTCAAATAGGTAACATGAGGTAGGTAATCAAATACCTTTACTATTAAAAAGCTTGTTTTCTGGCTTTACGGAAACAAAGTTTTCGATGATATTATTTATATTTAATTCATTTAGCAGGTCCTTGTTAATGGATAAAACTGCTAAGGAGTTCAAATTTTCTTGGGAAATTGCATTTCTTAAGTAGGTCTTTACCCTTTTTATTGTCGAAAGAGAGCTTTCGCCACTTGCATTTGCGACCATTATGAAGAAAAAAATACGCAGGCAAATATTAATATTTGGAAATGGACATATTAATTTATTTTCGTATAAAACCTGTACCAACTCTAAAGGAGTGTCTATTTTTAATTGGGGAAGAGACTTTAACAAATACTTTAAATGCACATGTTCTTGGGGAAAATACTCGTCCAAATCCCCTTGGACTCGTATTTTTGTTATAATTTGATTGACGATCTGAAAATATCTTCATCTTTCATAATTTTTAGTTTAAATTTTAAGACTTAAGATTGTCTATTATAAAAACATAACATTGTGTTCACATTTTTTCTTTTTGGCTTAAACTTGCCTCCGAATTGTGTTTATATCCATATTTTCCTTTTGTACTGTTTTATTCAACTCATTAACCCTTTGTAAAACGTCAAGCCAGAATGATAAAATTATTCTGTTTTCCAACAAATTAAGTTTTTCTGATAGAGAAGCTGCTTCAACTCTTACTACATTTTTCTTAAATATATCCGTTGATATCACAATCAAACATCAAACCGTAATTGCTTTTTAACGCTTTTACGGCATCAAAACGAGAAGACCAACGGGTTTTATTCACTCTTTTAGGAAACAGTGTCTGCCCCGACTCAGGCGAATCCTTTATTGCACGAGACAATAACTTACGTGTGTGGACACAGAGAAAAAATTGTAGATACCTACATAAAAAAAGATGTTGCTTCCAAACAACAATCTGCTGCATTATGGACAACCATATTTAAAGAGTGAGCAGCACACGGCGTGAAGAGAGCTAAATCATTGTAAATTTGAATATGTGCTTGCAAACCAGAATACTTGCCACTCATATTACTGGCATTGTAGTAAGACTGGCCTCTACAGTTCTTAATATCCAGTTTCAAAGACTCTAACATCCCAATAACTGTTTCCTCAAGTTCTTGTGAGCTATGCCCAGTGTTTTTATAATAAAATCCCACCAATCTTTCCATTTGATTCCCTTTATTGTTACAATATCTCAAAAACACCTATAAGTTGGTCACTGTGTAATTAATTTGCCTAACAATTTCATCAATGACTCGATTGGACAAAATATTCAGTAATTAGTTACATATATCTTTTGATAGATATGACGTTTTGTCCTTACCTAAATTTGCTCGTTTATTAATATGATGTTTTAAAAATGGATCATATTCTGACAATAGTTCCAGTAAAGTTTTCATTCCGTTTTTCGCCAATTCTTTCATGAGTACCTCTAAACACCAATTCCCTGGTAGCCAGAAACTTTATTACACTTATGATTCTTTCTAGTACTTTAACCCAATATTCTTTCGCATTGCTAATTTTCTTTCCTTATTTTTATTCCATAATTGAAAATCCTGTTTTAATTTGGTTATTTTTTTTTTCAAATAAGACACAATGAGGACAAAATATATTGCCACTGATCTCGGAGTAAATTGCCCAATCGCGACGAACCACTTCTCCATTAACCAGTTTTATATAAAATATTTGCTCACTGGCATACCTGTTTTGTTCGCTGAAATTTCTTTTTGACATTGAAAAGTGCATATCTGTAAGATTCTCTTCGACCCATTTTTCTATAATCATTTCTGCATAATTATTGCAATCTTGAAAAAGTGCTGGATCTTTAAAATTAAGTAAATCCTGTTTTAGATCTAAAAATAAATAAAAAAAATATTTGTCATTGTCCTGTTTTAGTTAGCATTTGTAAAGGCATTTGCATTTTAACCTCGTTACAAAAAGTTTAAATATGCCTTACCCGAGTAACTGGTGGTTGCTTCTTCATCTTTTAATAGTTTTGGGGTTTGGTTGGGCACCGAAATTTTTTTATGCTACCTCCACCATTTTAAGTCCTTAAAATTTGTGAATAACAGTGTCGGAATAGGGTCCTGGAGGGTTTAACCGCCAAACCCCCCTGGGTGCGGCACTGGTCTCCAAAATAGGTTCATGTGGTCGAATATGAATATATTTTATTTATCACTACTAGCACTAAAACTCTGACCGGGTTGGGAAATATTTGTAGTGTCATCTCGATTTCCATCCGTTGTAAAAAATGCTGTCATTTTGGGTATACCTATAGGCGAGCGGTTTACCCCTATAAGCAGAGCATCAACCGACTAAAATTCTTTTTGCATTTCTAATGCACCAAACCTTTTTTATTCGATTCTATATATTTTTCCAAGATGAAATGTATTTTTTTTTAATTTTTACAAGTGGGCCGGCAATTGTTATTAACAAATAACTTATACAAAAAAGCAATTTCACCGAATTGTTTCGGAATCAATTTTTTAGGTGTATCTCATCAAAATAAACACTTTTTCTCTCTTGATAATTTTTCGAAAAATGCTTCCTTTTCGAGTTATTTGCATTTTTTTGTTGAAAAAATGCCTTAATTAGTGATTTTTGGGATTTTTTTTCTAAAAAACTACTAAATGAATTGCAATTTTACAAATAGCTTTATAATCTTTAAACCGTCGAGTACAAGTTAGAATATTTTGACAAGGATAAATGGTTTCTATCTCGCTAAAAACGTGGACCCAAATATTTCGAATATGCCTTTCGAGAGTATCCCGCTATACAGCGGTTGAGGTGCTGTAGGCGCTCGAATCTTTTCGACTTTTTTAATAATGTAATATATATATGAAAAATATCTGATAATTGATTAAATGAAATTTTAATTTTATTTAATACTACGTAGGTAAGTAAATACTAGGTTACAATTACTAAATATTCTACATTTCACTACAAATTTCTTAGATAATTCTAAATTAGCGCCAACGATATAGACTTGTTTTAACTTGTTATTGGGCGCGTGTTGCAACAATATCGTGCCGCACTTATACAGATTGAACGAATTTAAAACGGATCATACAATTTAATATATGTCTGTTTGAACTGCATTTGAAATAGTGGACCAATATAAAACTTGAACAAAAATAAATCCATACCTGGGGATAGACATTGTATAAAATATCGTTCAACTATCTGTCTCGCAACAATGTTGTTTGCGTAACAATGTTGCCAATCGCCGTGTAATAGGTAATCCGATTTGCGGATCTTTTTGAGAGTTATATCTTCTTCGTATCTTTAAATAAATCGGATATTTGCCTATATTTTTCATTGTATTTACCAATTCCTTTAATTTCTTCCTATAATTTAGAATGCTGCGCAGTATGTGCATGTACACCAGAGAATTGTAAAAATGTTAAAGACGACTCTATTGAAGACAATGAAATCAGCTTATTAGATGGAAATCCTGTTGCTGTTGACGAAAATTTTCAAATTATTGACAATGAAAACGATGTATAATTAATATTATATTTTTATTTTATTATATTTTTCAATGAAAATTAATTATTTATTGCTTAATTTCACTGTAATAAAACATTCAATAATATAGTCACCACGTATATTAAAAGAAAAATTACATTATTATAGCATTCAGTGGCGGCTCGTGACATCTGCTATAGGGTGTGCTGCATGAACCACGGTCAATATAAAATAATAGAAATAGAATAACATACGAAAACAAAAACAATAAAATTAGCTTTAATACTAATTAATAGTAACTAATAACGACATGCTATAAAAATCTGATTAACTTACATTTATTGCATTTTTCTAAATTGGAAATTAATACGCCGGTCCTTTTTTGTCGCAAACTTTTCGATTACTTTATCGTTAAAGTTCGGTATTGAAGCGATGAACTTTTTTTCTATCGAGAGTGTGGAAAGGGCTGTTAATCTGTCTTCGCACATTGAATTTCTTAAAAATGTTTTGATCCGTTTTAAAGTTGAAAAACTACGTTCAGCTTCTGCTGTGGTCATTGGCGTAGTCACCAGAATTTGTATCAACTTTTTGGTTTCTGTTAATGTGTCCTCTAAATTATTAGAAATTATAAATTTTAGTAAAGGCACTGCACCTTTTAATGTTCTACACTCGATATTGGAATACAAAACTGACAGTTCTGTTCGCAAACGGTTTTTATCAAAGAAGTTATAAGCTGTACAAGTTAAATCCAATTCATTTTCAGGAAACTTATTATTATATTTTTCGAAATGTTCTGAAGATAAAAGTGTTGCGGCAACTAGATGATTTGTATATGCAAACCGTTCTTTTGCATTGTTTATAATAACATCACAAACTTCTAGACAGGCAATACGGTGATCCTGTTGGCTGTTATTTGGGCGTTTCCTTTTTTGGACACTAGGCGCCGCATTTAAATTTGAAGCTTGATGTATGATAGGGTCTATTTTATTTCGGACATTGTTAATACTTTGCTCAAAAACATGTATAGCTTTCTGTGCTTCGGTTGGGTCCATGTTCTTTTTTTGAAGATTATTGTACAAAACGTCAACATGTGGCATAATATAATGAAAAACAGTCAGCCAGAAAGTAAAATTTTGATCTTCCAGAATACGTCTAAGTCCTCTTGCTTCCTTGGAAGTAATAGCATTTGACTCTTCTTCTAGTTGCTCCATACACTCAATAATAAAGTCTCTATATTCGTAAACGACATTTACTGTACGAATATTGAAATTCCAGCGTGTAGGGATTGAACGAGGAATATTTTTTCCAACTATTTGATTTAAGACAGCTATTCTTTGAGGTGAATGACTAAAAAATCCAGGTATATCATGTAAATCTCCAAAAAATACGCGTACTTGGGAATTAATAGAACATGCTCTTGACATTATTAGATTCAATTGATGGGCGTAACAGTGCACAAAATGAGCAGTTTCATATTTTCTCTTAATTATTGTTTGCACTCCGCCATGTATCCCACTCATAACAGCTGCTCCGTCATAACTTTGTGCAATGAGCTTATTTTTGTTATTCTTTAATATTGGGTCTAAAACATTCAAAATTGTGTTAGCTAAGGTTTCAGCATCATGTTTTTCTGGAAGCAAAAAAGTCCAAAACCTTTCAACTGGAGCACCGTTTTTTACATAACGAAAAACAATGACCATTTGAAATTTCATAGAAACATCCGTTGTCTCATCAGCTATCACTGCTAAAAATGGGGCTTCATTGATTTCGTTTAAAATCTCCTCAGCGTATACTTCTAGCATGCAATCCAAAATATCATTTTGTATTGTTTTTGAGGTACCTTTGAAAATTGTCGCATTTGTAAGGTGTTCACTAAGTGTTTTATCAAGTTCAGCAGAAAAATTCACTAAACCACGAAAAATTCCAGGGTTATCTGATGTTTCAGATTCATCGTGTCCTCGTAAGGCGAGCTCAAAAGCCCCACAGAATTTTATACAGTCAATTATTTTTGACAAAACATACCTGTTTTTCGTCACCTCTTCATTGTGTTTTTGTATATTTATCCAATAAGCAGAGTCAAGTTGGGCCTGTATATTAAGTTTCCCAAATAATGCAAATCGCATTTCATTGTTCATATGAGTTTGCGTGTTTTCATGCTTCTTTATTTTTTCACTTAAATGCACTAGATCCCGCACTCCTGTCTCGCGCCACAATTTTTCCTCTTTATCTGCGCCGAATAATGCACACGGAAAACAGAAAAAAGCATTTTTTTCGGAACATCCACAAATCCACTGATTTCGTAGATACATGTCTTTATTAAATTTACGCGTATATGTTTTTCCACGGCTTTTACCGGACACTTCAATATTAAGATCAGGCATAGGACGGCCACGTTCTTTTATAATCAACTGTTGTTGATAGTGAAGTTTTTGAAATTTATTTACACCTAATTTAAATTGAAACTCCATTGTTTTAAACACGCTCGAACAAAACAAATTAAACAAAATTGTAACCTAAGAATTTCTAAACACGGCACAGATGCAACGGTCACGAATAACTGTCGTGAATTGCAGCTCGCAAACACATTTCCGAGGCCGTTAATCAGCCGATTGCCGAAGCACATCGGCTAAGATCGCCGTTTGCCTAATAAATGCATTTTACCGCTGCCAGTGTTTCGGTTGTTATCGACGCGGCTTCACTGGAGCAGCAAATACGTAAAAAGATTGCTTCACTGGAGCACCAAATACGTAAAAAAATTATACGGTTTCACTAGAGGAGTAAATACGTAAAAAAAATAATATTAATCATCGTTGTTGGTGAATTATTATTAACAGTTTATGTTTAATATGATAATATGGCAGATTTGAAATAAAACTATATTAATTATTCTTTAATAATTAAGATTTGCTATGGTTGTTTGGTAGTTCTGCAGCTCAGCAGCACATAAAGAAAAGCCGCCACTGATAGCATTGTAAAAAATTAATTTTAATTGTTTTAATTATAATATGTCTATATAAAAATAATTAGAAATATCTTTTTTTTTTAAATAAATTGTACGTAATATTTGTATTGAATTAATTTTTTAAACTTAAACAAATATTTCTACGCGCCGCACGCCTGTATTGCCGCAACCGCTGTACACAAGCGGTAGACTGCTCGAAAGGCATATTCGAAATATTTGGGTCCACGTTTTTAGTAGACAAGATAGAAAAAAATTATCCTTGTCAAAATATTCTAACTTGTACTCGACGGTTTAAAGATTATAAAGCTATTTGTAGAATTGCAATTCATTTAGTAGTTTTTTAGAAAAAAAATCCCAAAAATCACTAATTAAGGCATTTTTTCAACAAAAAAATGCAAATAACTCGAAAAGGAAGCATTTTTCGAAAAATTATCAAGAGAGAAAAGTGTTTATTTTGATGAGATACACCTAAAAAAATTGATTCCGAAGCAATTCGGTGAAATTGCTTTTTTGTATAAGTTATTTGTTAATAACAATTGCCGGCCCACTTGTAAAAATTAAAAAAAAAATACATTTCATCTTGGAAAAATATATAGAATCGAATAAAAAAGGTTTGGTGCATTAGAAATGCAAAAAGAATTTTAGTCGGTATATTCTGTTTCTAAGCGTCTTTTGAGGGGTAAACCGCTCGCCTACTAATTTTAATTTTATTTTGCCTTTCCTGCTTTTCTTATTTCCTTTTAAGCCAGAAAGATCCAGGTTGTTTTCGCCCTTCCATATTTTTCTATTGAATATTTATTATATTAATGTTTTATTTACCGATACTTATACAGTTTCAAATGTAAGACAAACCTCTTACCCGTACGTTTGTTTCTATTTCTACTCGTCGACATGGCGCCCGTCAGGCAGGATGTATAAAATATCTCACCTTTTATATTTCTGCAATTCAATCCGCCGATTGTCAACCCAAATATGAGCTATTTTGCGGTGTTCGCACATAGTTCCTAAACACTGTAAAATGATATAATTTTTGGGCAGTCACCACATATAAGTTTGTATACACCACTGTTTAAGTGTTTTTCTTTTAGCTCTTGTTGTTCATATTTAGTTATTTGTTTTGAAAGCTTTCTTTTTTATGTGTGGCTATTTTTGTTGATATGTTGCCTGTATATGTAATCGAGCAGAAGGTACTTTGTTTTTTCTCTGGTGATAGGAAGACTAATTTCAGGTGTTTCTCATGCTGTTTTTGGTTTAAAATTTTGTTTATTGTTTGTTCGTTGTACCCATTGTTTACTGCTATTTGTAGTAATTTCTGTTAATCTATGTAACATGTTAATTCATAGTAACAAAAGAATGTGTATGTAAGATCCTCAAGGAATGAAAAGTTTTTTAAGAAGTCAATAAATCTTTGATACTACAGACAAACTGACAACACAAAGTTTAAGTCTATGGTAGTAAAAATGAAATCATATGAATATGTTTAATTTTGTAATCCTTGTCTCTCTAGACTCGCTAGGGATAGTTGTCTTTAGCAGAGGTTAATTGAAATATTTGTTGTTTTAGAGCAAGAATTCGTTGATTTGATTGATGTAAAATTGAATTCTATGTTGGAAGACAACAGAAGAGAAATTATTAAGCAATTTTCTGAAGAAGAACTAAGTACTAAATTATGTGACCTGGTAAGTATCCATGTCAGGATAGCACCATGAGTTTTCCTCCTGATTTCTCCTCATGATTTACAGGTATACCGACAAAAGGACGCGGAAAAAAGGACGCATAAAAAAGGACGCGGAAAAAAGGACGCCCGAAAAAAGGACGCCCGAAAAAAGGACGCGTGGAAAAAAGGACGCGTAGAAAAAAGGACGCATATTATTAATGAAATACTATAAATAATTTATTTTAATTGACAATAGCAATTACCCCCGTTTATCCCCTATATATAATTACAGAAAATGATTCTACCTAACCTAAAATCGGTTACGGTAAAAGTAAAAAGTGAAAAATATTTATATGAAAAAAACTTGCCTTCACACTTTATCCAGGCTTAGGACTGGCAGCAGAAGCTGGCGTGTTTACAAGTTTTTTTTTTATTTTTTTTTTTTTTAATTTTTTGCTTTTTTTGGAATTTTTGTCATTTTATTTTTTTTTGTTTTATTTTTGATATTAATTTTTTTTGTATTTATGTTTGCAACTGAAAATTAATCAAATTTCCAAATATTCGGATGTGCACTATTGAGAAGAGAAGAAAAGCTGTTGTGCCATCCTTCGACAGCATTATTAGTTCGAGGTATATCTTGGTCTGCCAAATCGTAACAATTCCATACATTTGCTGGAAAAAGGGGTTGTCTTCGATTTCCTCTTCTAGCTAATCTCCCTATCCAAGTGTCTTCAAAGTAATTAATCAGCGGCACTAGTAGTTCTTCATTTTGTGTATAAAAATCGCTATTGAGCAACTCCTCGTACACTCTGACTACATGGTTGTCTGGAACAAACGCAAGAGCTGTCAATTGTCTTAGGTGAAGGGCGAAGTCAGGATTCTCAATATATCTACGTTGCAATCCGGCACTTTGAATATGGCGCCACATACACTGCGAGAAATGAAAAAAACATCCGCGGATTCTCACATTTGGGAACTCAGTTTGTGCAGCATTCATTGCCGCTCTTTCAAAGTCCATCATTATTGTTAGAGGGCGCAAGGCCGGATTCAACACCTTTAGTTGCTGAAAAACACGTGTATAAGTCTCTTGTGTTTTGTTCGTTAGAAGTGCAAATACAGTCGGGATTACATTACTGTATCGCACTCCATGAATTGTGTATATTTGAGAAAACAATGGTGGTGCTGAGTTAAATGTTCCATCGGCATACCAATGATCGCATTGTTCCATAAATCTTAAATTTCTTTGTGTTGAAAATAACAAAATACGTTCTTCTTCTGGCCCGCTATCAAATAATAGAAATAGCTCACCGCCTGTAGTTGTTTTATATTCTTCAGGAAGCACAAGTTCTTCTAAATTTCTCGGATTTGCGGGCGTACCTCCTAGCTCGTTCCGAACTCTTTGCACAGTTTTTTTTAACGACGACACTGATGGAAGTTGTGCCGTAGCAGCTAAGGAAAGTCCTTGAGAAATTTCACTTACTACACCTTGGGTGGAGTGTTCCAGTTGTTGTGCAACTTCTTTCATCCGGTTACAAGCTTCTTTTGCTTCAATCTTTGCCGTGTCTGCAACGTGATTATGTTCTGTGGATTTTGTAATTTCATCCACAACGGTATGCACTCTTCCTGTACATTTGCACTTATTATAAGTAGCACACTTCCAAATTGTCTTTTCACCAATCACTCGCTCTTTTTTATGGAGAAATCCATTATAAAGTAACAAGTTGTTGCCTTTTTGGCTTTTCACAAACGCTAACACCATCTTAACAGACTGATATCAATTTGTAAAATGTTTTCTTGTTAAGAACAGAATAAATTACCTACCGCGACAAGTTTCCCCTATATAAACAATTTGGTTAATGATGTTTTGTTATATCGGACCTTTTGTAATATTCATTTCTTAAAAACAATTATCAAACAATTAGAAAGTTTTATTTTCTTACTAATCGTTTCTATTTACATTCTTAACATTACCTGCGGAATTTACCAACCTTCCGGTTCGCGTTAAACCCTCATTAGACCCCTTACTGGGCTGGTACTTGGGTTTTTCTAATCCCATACATAATTCTGATAATATGGAATCTAACCTGTTTCAATACCAGAAATCTTGAATCAACATTATATTAGTATTTATTATTTTACTTAAGATATTTTAGTCCTAAGCCTCGATAAAATGTGAGGGCAAGTTTTTTTCATATAATTATTTTTCACTTTTTACTCTTACCGTAACCGATTTTAGGTTAGGTAGAATCATTTTCTGTAATAACATATGGGGATAAAAAGGGGGTAATGGCTAATGTCAATTAAAATAAACTATTTATAGTAATTCATTAATAATATGCGTCCTTTTTTCCACGCGTCCTTTTTTCGCGCGTCCTTTTTTCGCGCGTCCTTTTTTCCGCGTCCTTTGGTCTCGCGTCCTGTTTTCCGCGTCCTTTTGTCGTAGATTCTGATTTACATTACTAACGGGAAAATTTTACTGTCAGATTGTGTGTGGCTGTCTTTGTAAAGATAGATCACATGCTGTGATTTTTCTGTCAGTTATTCTCAAGTTTATTTCATGTTATTGAATGAACTATCTTTCAATAAAGTCGTCCCAGGAATGCACCTGAAAATATTGACAATACCATTTTAAAGTTATTTACCAACTAACAAAACAAAATAATTTGTTTAATTTGTATTTTGATAACGATTCCCAAAGTGGAAATTGAAAGTTATTTTAAACTAAAATTATGATTAATTCCCATTTTGGAGATGACTTCCGATAACCTAATTACATTTTAGGATAATGTGTTAATTTCAAAAAGTAACACAAGTATAAATGTAACACGCAAACAAGACCTTTTAAGTAGTACGAAGTCTGTAAGGAAGGGAAGAAAACGACTGACGCGAAGTTCTTCTGCCACAGATGAAGGTAAGATAATCATAATTGGAATATATAGTGCGCGTCTAAAGTCCTTCACCCAACTAATTCGTGAACCATAAAATAAAGATTAATATTTTTTTTGTAACTTAACTAAGGGACCTGTACATTTTTTATGATGTTTAGTAACATAATTAATCTAAATGGCGGAAATGCGCCATTTTATAAAATTCATTTGAAATTAAGATCATATGCCAAATAATACTTTATTTGAAAGCTCTTGACATTCAGTATATTCCTAGATTTTTGTGCGATTCATATATGACTATCCGTGATAATTACTCGTCACAATCGAGGTTTTATGAAAAATGCTCGAACAGGTCAATTTATTTTTTCAGTTTCTGACAGTGCTCGAATTCATTTGCTTATTTTTTAAAAACTGTCAAAATATGACGTTATCAACCTTTATTTACGTGACTATATAGCATGTTACATTAAGTTACTAAAAACAAGAAAAAGTTATTCTTTCGATGGGAGTAAATTAAAGGTAATATTCTTAATTCAGCGATAGCCATTTTGAAGGGTACACGTAAACTAATCACCAATTAGCATAAATACTCCCGTACATAGTACAAACTCATCACTGCCTAGGGATTTTAAAATAGACCCTGAGAGATTGGCAAAACTCATCACTGGCCTACCTGCACCCTGTGGCAGTATAGACCATAAACCCCTTACAAACCGCTAACATTTGGTAATTTGACAGAATAAATCTAAAATAGATGTATTAAATGCAAATGCATTCAATTCATTGGTTTTTATTTGGGAATTCCACAAAATTTCCGTTTTTTTAGTTGTTTCGCACTGGTGGCGGATCATTCTGATCAAACAGAAAAAAATCAGCTTAACCGTTTAATCGGCAAGATAGAAATAGCAGGTTTTGAGTTACAGGAATTTTGGTTTTAGGGTAATTTGGGTGTGGGAAAAACGAATCTGAGGTCTGTTTGGCGATATTGTGTGTGTGTTTCGTCGCCAGGCCAAAAAATCATAGACTGTCTACAGACGGTCTTGTCGTTCAGAAGGAAAATTTATGAAAACACCATAATTTATTAGTAGTACAAAAATATTTTTATTGAAAAACAAAGTTACAGGTAAATAAACAAAAATTATCAAGATTTGGTGTGATACTGTATGAAGTAATTTTTACCTTTCCTGTTACACAAATGAAGGTTGCACTTGGTGCAAAAGGAATGAGTGTCAGACTTTATACACAGTTTTCACGACTTTTTCGATCCCCATTCAGGCCAATGATTTAATCCGTCGTATCTTACACTATCCACCTGATGAACAGCTCGTCTACCGACTGCAGAACTACTAGTTGGCTGTGGAACGGACGATGGTCGTCCAACAGGACGTTTTTCAGTTGTAGCACACAGCTCTTTAGCCATTTTCAATCGAAATTGTTGCATTGTCATGTCTTTTTGTTTTTCACCACCGGAGACATTCCGATTTTTCTCGACATTTACATGTCGATAAAGAACGAAGGCATTGGTAATCGCCATGTCCAGTAGATGGTAAAAAATTCTGGTGACCATGTACATTGTTTTTATACGAAGTCCATTTCGACCCATATATGAATCCATGAGGTCTACACCTCCCATGTGAGAGTTGTATTCTCGAATGATTTGTGGACATCCAACCTCGATATATTTGTTAGTTTTCTTGTCATAACGAGCCACCTTAGCCGGTTGAGTAACTGCTTGGGTTTTCAAGAAAGGTTTTATACCAACATATGTCATTTTTTTTTCACCAACATTTTTTGTGTCTTTTCACAAAACTGCTCAGATCGACAACATAAGCTGATCCGCAATATTCGACGGAATAACCTCTTGCTTCTCTTTTCAAATCCTTATCTCCTGGCAATTTGCAGTTAGGGATTCGATTGCTTTGAATAGTACCAAGAGCAAAAATGCCACGGGCTCTCAGGTACACCATTAGAGGTAATGAGGTGTAGAAGTTATCGAAATAAATGACATGATTCAGGAAGTCTGGCACTGTCTGCGATAACCTGATAACAACGTTTCCTGTAACACCTATATCTGGGGTGTTAGGCAAAATGATGTCATCATTACGAGCACCAGTATAAATTTCGAACTGGTATGAAAACCCATTCGTATCACAAAGAACGAATAACTTTACACCCCATTTGTTGGGTTTATCTTTGAGGTATTGTCTAAGATGGTGGACCATTTTAGTTGAGCACATTTGTTCATCCACACATAACCGTGCATTTTTTGGGATGCTGTCAAACTGAGTATTCAAAATTGTGGCAATTTTTCGTACTCGAAAGATAGGATCGTATCCTGGTTCACCTTTTGGAATACGTTGGCGTTCATCATTGAACGCAAGATGCTTTTTGATTGCTTCGAATTTCTTCAATGCCATGCAATCTGGTACGGCTCTGAAACCAAATTCGCCCCAGTGCGATTCCATGTGAGGATAACGAAAAATTGACATAAATATGAGAATGCCAATGTACCGCCGTATCTGTACTGCGTCAACGGTGAATTGTGTATTAATTTCGATGACACGTGCAGCTCGATTTGTTTCCAACACAATGAGATCCACCAATTCATCCGTAAAGAAGTAATTGAAAAACTGCAACGGCGAATCTAATTTAAGTATTTCAGGTGGAAGATCAGTTTTGCCACGAAATGCAACCTCGTTCACGTGTAACTGCATTGAACGTTGACGCCACAGAATATTCTTCCATTCCTGTGATTCCTTTGCAATATTTGTTAACGCTGAAAGCAAACAAATAATCAGAACATGACAATTATTTTTTTATTCGTAATATGTACAAACCTCCTCCAGTGAAGCCACCTGCTGGTGGTACTACCCTCGGGCCGGAAACTTCCTAAGTCGGTAACGGCGATCTTGATCTATTCGGTGGTTTGAATGTAGATGTAGGTGTTGCTACTGACCTTGTTGCTATTGCAGCCGTATCTACTGTTGTTGCTACTATGGTTGTGTCTTCTGATATCGATGCTACTAATTCTGCTGCTGTGGTTGGTGAAGATTTATCTCTAACCCCTATAGCCGCTTCAGCAGTGGAAGTTTGTGCAATTGGAACTGTAGTATCTGTCGAACTGAACGAAGTACTATTGATATTCCGTGATAAGTTAGAGTAGTATGTCAAAATATGTATGTTACTTAATATACTTTTGCCTACCACATAAATTTCCTGATTTTTCAAATTTTCATAATTTTCTTCATTTTCATATTGACAAAAAATTTTAAATTCAGTACCTTGTTTTAAGTTTTTAAGACATTTTCATTTTTTGCTGTTTTCACAGGATAATGTTTCATCATGTAGGCTTTGACCGCTTATATAAGCCAGGAAACTGTACCTAAGCATTTTGATTCATTCTCTTATAATAAATAGATTTCTAATTAGTTAATAAGCTAGAGACTATTTCCGATATAAACGGAAACAGCACATGTTCATAAATATTTTCATTATAAAGTTCACTATCGAAAACTTATGCAACTGAATTTTCAGATCTCAAAACCGTTTAGATTGGCGGATAAGTCTAATAGACCACACCGCAAGAAATCTGATACTGATATCCATTTTAAAGCAATTTGCCTAAAATAATTTCTGAATTTATTAAATTACCACATAAACAAGATGTGTAATAGGTAACTGGTAATCTTCCGCATTAGACACCAGCGCCTTGGGCCAAAAATGCTGGTGATGAGTTTACCTATCTGCGGTGATGAGTTTACCTCTCTCCAAAGGATGCCGGTGATCCTATGATTTTATGGGGGCCTACAAAGTGATGAGTTTATTATGAAACGGCGCGTCAGAAGCAGACAAAAGCTAGGAACATAATGAGAAATACAAGAGCTTTTAAACTCTGTATCATATTCCATATATTGCCATTAAAGAAAAATGGATAACTTCAGGCCAATTATAAATTGACCTGTTCAAGTGTTTTCTATAAAAGCTTAACATTACAGTAGAAATATTAGGCCATAATAATGTTCAGTTATCAAAAAAATATATTTTGAAGATTTATTGAAAAAAAGATTTATTGTTTTGAAAACAGTTGGTGGGACGGATTTTATGCATCCCCTATATAAGCATTTTTAAGCATATTTTATAGATAAAAAATAATTCGGTAGTAATAGAAACGTAGAAATCATAATTAAACTTACATTTTTATCTCAACATAAAGTCATACAAATGACTGTTAGCAAAAAAAATATTAATAGTCCAACTATTTTACTATTGCAAAAATTAGTTTGTCTCTATCTTGCTGCGAGAACCCACAGAAGACAATATGTTTTCAGTAATATCGGATTTCATTGTTTCGTTCGTAGATTGACATTACCAAATGAGTGATTCAGGTTCATGATATTTTGTAAGTAGTTTTCTTCTTTAGGTCATCATCATCATCCAGCATTCATTTATCACGTCCACTGCTGGACATAGGCCTCCCTTAAACTCCTCCATTCTTTTAAGATTTTGTGTTCTTTGTTACCAAATTTTGATGATATGTCTGATGTGTCAACCCAACGTATAGGTGGTCTTCCTCTACTACGTTTGTCTTCACTTGGCCTCCAATTTGTAATTTTGATCGTCCATAGTGAATCATGCATTCTCGCTACATAGCCTGCTCAGTTCCATTTCAGTTCTGCTATGCGTTCCATAACATCAGCAATACTCGTCCTTCTTCGCAGATCTTCGTTTCTTATTCGGTCCTGCAACGTCACTCCCAGCATAGACCGTCCCATTCGTCTCTGTGCCACTCTCAATTTCGAAGCCGTAGTCTTGGTTAGAGTCATAGTTTTCGACCCATAGATCATAACCGATAATACGCATTGGTAAAATATTTTCTTTTGAGGCTAATTGGTATGTTGGCCCTAAGTGTGTCTCGCAGTTTTTTTAAAGGCTGCCCACGCTAAAGTAATTCGTCTTTGGATTTCGTATGTTTTGTTATCTCTGTGTTATGCTGATTCTTATTTTATGACCCAAATACGTATAT